CAACAAAGAGATTATTTGTGTGAGTTCAAAAGGCAAGACTCATTTTTGCTTCAAGGCAGCACCTTTGTGTAAAACGAAGATAATTAACAAAAAACGAGACAAACACTTCATAAACTGATTTTAAATCTCCAACAAGACTGACTGAATATAAAGAATTTAATTTGCCTCTCTTTGTTTGCCCAATTCCCTTGGTTTTCCTACTCCCGAGTATTGATCCTCCCCTTTTCCGTCTGAGCCTCATTTCTGTCGATCCAGTCTTGTTATCTCTAATGAAGACAACACTTGACATGCCTCTTCTGCACCTGAGGCCCAACATGACGACACATCCAAACACCCTGCAGCTTTTCACATTATATTGACGACTGTGATGGAAGGAACTTCCCCCTTCACACACACACACACACCCACACACATACATACATTGAAGCCCATGCACATACGCACCAACACATATGCGCACATCCATCAAACTACTGAACCATGGGATGTTTGGTTAGCTTCTTGGCTAACATAGACAGTTGGAGGGACCCCATGGTTATATCAGTGCTCCATCTCCTCCAGCCCCCTCCCCACTGGTGAACACACACACAGGAATAACAACACATTTAGCATTGCCTGTAATTGACCCTCAGTATTTGCATAGAGTATTTGTGTGAATGCAGGGAAAGCTGACACGATACAGTGGAAGAAATAATACTCGAAGTGTTTGTCAGTTTCAACATCGCACAGAGGGGAGGGAGAAGCCCTCTTCTCTTTATGCTGCTGCAGCCGACTGTTTTATAACACTGAAGGGGTTATGAAACTCTCTCGTCCCAGCTGGACCTGTCCACCTGTTCTCTCCGTCTGAACTCACGCATTGTCATACACAGATAAGCTACACACTGTATGAATACCAAATCACAATTCAATAATATCCTTTAACATACTATTAGTGGAACTGTGTCCTCACAATTTCATCATATCATCTTATTCTGTTTCAAAAATAATAATGTATGTTGTCTATTATTTAAATGATTGATGTTAATATATAATGAAATGTTTGGGGACATCATGAATTTAGTCATTTCATATACAAGTCTATATAATATCAGGACATTGTGAAAAGTATGCCAAGGTGATCAATTCACATACATTTAAGCAGAATTTCCTCTAGAATTATTGCCTGCCATTTTTTGTTATGTTAATCTATATGAGGTTTATTTTGTAAATGAATCTACGTCACATAAACAACACGCATACACAAGAGTGTTTAGCTTCCCTACTTCACTCATCAAGATTTAGGTGAGTCTGTGCATGCTTGAGTATACTGAATGTGTGTACTTTTGTAGAGTTATATGCAACACTGTTCACACACATCTGAATGTTTCCCTTTCAACTCACGATGGACAAGCTGGTAACCATTAAAAACACACACAAACACACACATATACATATATACACACGTGCACACTTGTCTTTATTCTTAAAGCACCATCTATTATTCAGCGAGAGCAGGTGGGAGGGGCGGGGTAAAGCGGTAGTTGGGGCATGGCTGAATAGAATGTGGGTGTGGGGGCAATCAAGGGTGGAGACATGTGTGTAAGTGTGAGAGTGAATATGTGTGTGTGTGTGTGTGTGTGTGTGTGTGTGTGTGTGTGTGTGTGTGTGTGTGTGTGTGTGTGTGTGTGTGTGATTTCTTTTTTTAAAAGGAGGCAACCCCCACCCTGTGCACATTTTCAGCTCTAGTCCCATGAATGGTAAAATTGTAGCCGGCCGCTGTGATGGAGGAGTGAGAGGAAGACAAAGACAGAGGGGGAAGAAAGACCCCCGTGACCCACCAACCCCCTCCTGACTTCCTCTCCATAGACAGTCACACTTCACCGGGGTGACCTGTGTCGATAGACATATTTCATCTAAAGAACAGCCATAAACCTCTCATTAATATATATTCCAATGATGCTCACCATGCAGGACAATCATATTCTTATCTTAACCAAATCTGTCTTTATAGTTCTGTGATAGGATAGCAACCTCCTGTGCAGTGCATGCTGGGATAGGCAGCCTGCATGACCCTGAAGTAGAATCAGTTATAGGATGATGGATGGATGGAGGGATGGATGGAGGGATGGATGGATGGATGGATGGAGGGATGGATGGATGGATGGATGGATGGATGGATGGATGGATGGATGGATGGAAAACATTTAAAAAGGTCTAAAATATAAGCTAATTAGTACATTCCTGGACATTTAAGAATGAAATGTCTGTTTGCATGTAGAATATACTTATATTATTAGCAGATGAAATAAATAACACAGGTGTTGTTATGGTCTTCAGCCATGCTAGAGGCTATATGAGACTGTACATTAGTTTACTTACTTAGGAAGGTGTAATGGTAACCGTGTCCACTAACTTAGTTTATCATGTTAGCATGTTAACATTTGCTTATAAGCACTAAACACAAATCTGATCCTGATGGGAATGCTTTTCGTTATTTACTCAAAACACATACTGAACAAACTGAAATTCGCTACTCATAACGGTGCTAGAGACAAAACGTCAGGGGACCACCAACATCACTAGGAGTGAATGTCTGTACAAAATGACATGAAAATGTCTCATAGGTCCAAAGTGGTTGACAGACTGTCATCGGTTGACATTGCTATCCATGGAGACAATTTCTACAAGCACATTGTTGCTGGGACAAATCTAACCAAGTTAAAAGTTAACATCGGAAAATGTACATATAACGACATGTCATAGGTCCAAAAAGAAAATGTGGTGGGAATTCACAAGACATATGACTGTATAACAATACGCCTGCACTGCTATTATTCACAGTCTATGCTGAAACATTAACTCGGGGCAAAGACTCTGAGAAGGCGGCTCAGACAGGATGATAATGATGATAATACTGTAGCACTAGAGACACAGACGTCAACTACAGCTGAACAATCTTCTTGTTTGCTCATGGCAAGAATTAAACACAAAAAAATGCACAGCAGCAGATTCAGATTCAGTCATTGATCAAAACGAGAGAGCTAGTTTTTGTAACTGAAGGCCAAAAATTCAAATGTTGGCCCATTCAGTCAAAATACCTCCCACTCCTACACCCACACACATCAACATGGGTTTAATCTGTCTGGCATGGAAGATATCTGTAAACAAATATCAGTGTGGCCGTGAAGCCGGGGGATCAGTTCACAGAGGAGGGCAGTACTGATGGAGGAAGATGATGAGGAGAGAGGAGGGCAGTACTGATGGAGGAAGATGATGAGGAGAGAAGAGGGCAGTACTGATGGAGGAAGATGATGAGGAGAGAGGAGGGCAGTACTGATGGAGGAAGATGATGAGGAGAGAGGAGGGCAGTAGGAAGGAGAATCTGGGATGTACTCATTCAAACTCAGAGGGAAATTGGAAATCTGCCACCATGCAGGACGGAAAACTAAAAGCCATAAAATACGAATTCTCACTATTTCATCAATGAAACTATAATAGTAATCCTTAGTTGCAAACCTACCTATTATTGTTATTATTGATTAATCAGTTTACTCTCTTTTGATTGATTTACAACAACACTTTAAAACCCAAAAGGTATATGCCTTGATACACCCATCTTGTTTTCCCAACCAATATTCAAAATCTCTAAAAACATTCAGTATATGATCCGATAAAACACAAACAACTGCAAATAGAAACTGGAGATAGGAAATGTTTGTTGTTTTTGTTTGAAAAAGAGAAAAGTAAAGATTTTCAGTCCAAGCTCCACAGCACTGATCTCATTCTTATTCAGAGCCACACGTGTCAAACTGTTCCCCGGAGCTGTCTGCATGGAGGCTACCTCACTCTGTGGAAAGTTAAACAAAGGATTTTTCCCAATTGTCTTCTTTAGGTCAACTTTCTGATGGACTTTCGACACCACACCAGGTAAAGATTAGATTTACAATGAAGCTGTAAGCAGACAAGGTCACCTGCATGAATAATGACTCAGCACCGAGCCATGTGCTAATGAAAGTGCATGTGCAGAAGCTTGTGCTGTATGTGTGTGTGCATTTGTCAATGTGTGAACGACACATTTCTATCCATAACCGGTTGATGCGTCACACAAGTGAGCTGCAGGCTTCTCAGAAACATTTGCTCTAAACGTGGGAACTCCTGTGATGTAACGGCTCTCTCTGTGAGGGAGTGACTTCTGCTGTGAGGAGCAGGCAGCATCAATGTTTGTGTGTTTACAGACTTCCTGTTTTGGGGCTAAATGAGACAAACAAGCCCTGGTCTCAAGGAGAGATGGTGGAAAACCGAAACAACAAACAATCACAGAAAAGTTTAGATACAGATGCCAAAGGGTTAAATTGTATGAAAGTGTATGAGGTCGAGGCAAAAAGAGAGGGAGAGGCTTAGTGAGAGGAAGAGGTGAAATAAGAAGAGAGTTCCTCGCTTTCCATCAGCAGTACTGTGATCAATATCAGTGTCTGACAGGGCAGCGCTCCGGCCTTTACCGTAAATCACTTCCTATTATGATGGAACCTCTAAATCACACACGCACACAAAAACTGACCTGCTGCAAACACACGCACACATATTCACACATAGATACATTGATTCATACACAGCACACACCGGCATTAGATATTAATGTCTTAAGAGTGCATTCCCAAACACAGGCAGTAAACATCCGTCAGAGACCAGGAAAATATGACCCGCAGAACCACGATGAACGATTCAGGCAAGATACTGGAGTCAGCACTCGAGTAATGCACAACATGTGCTCAAGATCATTTACACTAAACAGGAGCAAGTTTTGCAAGCCAGTCATATTTAAAGAACATTTTTGGTATTCGAACCATGCCACCTTTGTTTGCCTTAAAAACAATATTGAGTGTCAGCCAAGCCACACTATTTAAAAAAAAAGTAAAATGCAAATGAAACCTTACAATACCTCTGCAAAGACAGACATTGTTTTTGGTAGATGGATTCCTATTCAGGCGGACAGATGTAATTATATAATAACTGTTACTCACTGGTTCAATTCCACATCCAAGATGAATTTTCTGCCGAAAGCGTCCACTTGAAAGCTTGCTTGGGCCACATGGTTCACCTAGGAAAAGCAGAGAAGACATGTTATTTACTATCATTAAAAGGCAGACATTATCATATTCAGGTTTATTCATTATCATATGCAAGGATCAATTCTCCTCTCCATTGATGGATGGCTGCATTGTCTCTTTCAGAACCAATCAGCAGTAGGAAGACTGTTTATATTAAGCCATCAACATCTGTCTTCTACTGAATTTGAATTTCTGCAAAGGATCTCATGCAAGTGCTTTTTATGTAATATCATCTCACACTATGATTCATAATTAAAAACGCACATATTATTATACCTCAATGACACGTCATTTCTATGTTTACCAGAGTGAGTTTGTATGTTTCACAACGCCAAGGACTCATTGATATTCCTCATCCCATACTGAACCATATCATTCCGCTGACTGCTGTGTGTGATTGATTTGGCTGGAGGAGGGTCTTCTGGGCACATATGGGACAGGCTTCATTACAAACCCTCGGGTCAATGAGAACTCGGCCCAATCATTCCTCTGCAGGTCTAGGGGAGTCCCCGAGCTGGGCTAAAACTCGCCTCACCCTCCCCCCAGACTCGCCCCCCGGCTACCTTCATCAACAGACCGGACACCCCATGACAGCGATGGGAGGAGGGGTGTGTCGGGTTTTTTTTTTTTCTTTTTAATCCAGGAGGTGCCCTTGTGCTCACCCAAGCACGACCTCAGCCCGTGAAGTCCCCATTGACCAGAGACCATTGTTTGAAGGCGTGTGTCTGCGCGCGGTCAATGCATATATGAGCGGCTAAGAGGGTGTGTGGGTGTGTGTGTGGGTGTGTGGGTGTGTGTGTGAGTGCGTTCAAAGGGCAATCCCTTTCCATGGCACACTTGCGATGAAATCTAATCTGGCAGGATTGGATCCATGATGGGAGGAGGTACCAGTAATTGTGTTTAATGAAAGCACATCCCAGCTTCACTGAGCCGGGCCGATATCCTGAAGCCACCGCTGACTCTTGATTTCTGAGTTATAGCAGACTTTCCACTCATGACTGTCGAAGTATGACTGTAATCAACGCACTGCGCCCAGACAGAGAGGCAAACATGCAAACCAACACACACTGATTCCACTGGAAGCTTTTGTTTTCTCCACCAAAACAACATGAGCACTCTGCTGAACTCTCCACGGCTCATTCAGTGGTGAAGCTGTTTGTGTCTGAGACTGAAAATAGGCAATGTAACTGAAGTCTAATTATAAACTTCTGTGTGTCACATATTTATCAGAACTATTTGACAGATTTGGTTTTTAGACTGTTGGTCTAAAAACAGCCAAATATCTATCAAACTTGCAACGTGCTTGTGACATCACGGCTGATTGCAGACCAGATTCAAGCCTCTGGAGAATAAGAGACTCAGAACATCAAATATAAAATGAGAGAGGCACGTGTCCTCTTCTACCCTGGATGTATTACAAAATATATATTAAACCGCTAATTAAGAACTTTACAACCATTACCTATTATCTGTTATTTTAATTAGTAACCATGGGCTGACAATACATCTTTAAGCTAAATAAACACATCTTAAAGGTGTCAACTGACTCAAAAAGTAAATGCGTATCTAGATAGGCTCCTAAGAAGGTACTTGACTCGTGAAAATATGATATTTTAAGCATGATTTTAGCTAATCTTCTTAAGAATCTTTGTAGAAAGTTGAAAATGTTCCTTTGCCCTGCACAAACTAGTGTATTAATCTTAGGATGGAGGTTAGCATCAGCTTCAAAGGAAAACACTAAAATGATATCTGAGGGCAGATGGCTGCTGTTAGCATGTTTACCCATCGGGCTGCAGCTCTGAGGTGTGAGAGGGACAAAGGGTTTAACACCTCCCTGCATGCTACCATCTGTAGCCCTCTCCAATCTCTGGGCCCTGAATAGGCTAGCAAACCTAAGCCGCACAAATTAAAAACGCATGAAAGGTTTGCACAATGCTAATTGACTCGTCTCTTGAAATGAACCCAACAGACACGCTGCTTCACTGAACTGAGTCAGTGAACACTGCTACAGTGATATGGATTATTACTGCACTGCATTGGTTATTAAAGACAAGGCGGAATGTAAGGTTTCCTGTCAAACTATGTTGTTGCTAACATTGGGTTTGGATAATCACTAACAGCTCTCTGCATCATTTTGTAACATAATGGTTTGTGGGTGTTATTGTCCAAACTTACTGCAAAACAAAGTTGACCCCAAGCCAATAAGACTACAGTGGTGTGCTTGTTCCAGAACAGTGGTAGTGTTAACTAAAGAACTGTAAACATACCTATACAACCATTATCAAATCATCTTGGTTATCAATCCTACTTTAGAACATATTTTCTAGAGATATCACTGTAAATATTCAGATGTTGAGCTAGTACAGCCAACATGTTATGGTTTTTTGAGAAGAATGTAGATATTGATATTTGAGAGCTAAACAAAATCAGATACTGCATTTAGCGGTACCGTTCTTTAACATAAACACATAACAAAAATGTGTTCCTTAAAAGTGGTTATTAAAAAGATAATGCACTTAACTGTGTTATGACCGTTAAGATTGTGACTGTGATGAAACACGTCCATAAAAACATTTGTTTTAAATTGGCATTTCATGGGTTAAAAATGCCTAAACATATCAACTACTGGTATTCGCCCTGAACCAGACAGATGCTGGAAAAAGATGTAATAAAAAATTAAAATTATAAATATTGTTAACGCCCTTCTAATCAGTTGGCAGGGGAGGCCACTGCAACTCCTGCCTTAATGTTGTCCTCTCAGCCCTCTCTACACCTGAACATTGTAAAAGCGGGACTTTCAAAGACATTTCTCTAGTGCAACCGTTTTGTACATGGGCCGTTCACATCGGTGGATGATCTCTTGATAATATATCATCCCCTCCACTTAACTCGACTTGCATTAATTGACTAAAATACAAAATAAAATGTTGCTTTATGTGAGCTGATGCAGGTGAGGCAGCTCCTGGGACAGCAACCCAGCTGGACACACAAGATGCAAGTTATCACTAAATTATTAATTATCCTGGTTGGCCAGATGACTAAAGCAGATTTCCTACAGTTGCCTAAATGTACAGTGTGAATAGAGAAACATTGTTGACAAATCAATAAGCTAAATATTGTATATCCATTGAAAGGCAGAGCGATGACCGACATAGTAGGCTACCTGCACAGTCTAATCAGAGAGGCTTAATTGTTTCAAGCTTCTGCTGTTTTTGCTTGTAATTGACTAATTATTAGTTTTACCCTCTGAGAACAAGGGTAGAGGAGGAGAAACAAACATAAACACGCAGGCAGCAGAGAGCAGCACACACACACACAGCCTCCATGCAGACACTCCTCTCCATCCGGACAACAAAAACACTGTGTACCTGGCTGGAGCCGGAGGCTGGCTTTCACCCTGGTGCTGAGCTCATCCTCTGTGATCTGGCTGTGGTTGTGCCTGCTGTAGAGCAGGCGGAGAGGCACCGTGTCCTCCTTTCCCACAAACCTGCCTGCATCACGAAGAGCCTTCAAGCTCGACAAGGCGTCTCCTGCACAGAGGAAAACACAGATGTCATTACCCGTCTGTCCCTCCGTGCGGGAAACAGAGGCACGTTCATCATAAACACCGCCATCTGAAATGTCGACTGGTCCATTTTTCCTTTGATAACAAGAAGCAGCTACAGGCAAAATGCATATTTTAGAGGGAAAACCATGAACTAGCCGAAGCTATGACACAAAACAAACAAAGGCCTGTGAATGGTAATTTAAGGCTTTTATCAGCACGATGTTTTGATGTAATATTTAAAAAAGCATCAGTTACCATTTTGGGCATCAGGGCTGCTCTGGTGGCCGACGTGCATCAATCCACAGACGCACAAAAGGGAAATCCACCATCGCGGGCGCATCATCAGCACCATCACCTTTCACTCTCCTGCTGGAAATTATAAAACAATGCGGTTATCCGGGAGCAGGCTCTCAGAGTCCTGCCTTCGCTAGGGAGCTTGAAGCTGGGGGCTGGTCGTCTGGTTAGCGCAGTCCCTCTGGTTGGGGGCCATCGGGGTCCTTACAAGTCTGAACGCGGAGCGCGTCTGAGCGCACCGACGACCCGCGAAGCAGCAGCACGGAGCAGAGAGGGAGGAGAGGGGAGGGTGCAGGGGAGGGGAGGACTAGGGACACCTCCTTAAAACACATCAATATCCAGCGGCTCACTGCAGAAACGCCTAATGCATAAATATGAGCGAGCAGTGGAGACAGGATGGAGAAAAGCTGCGGGCCCGGCCTTCCGGGATGATCATCGTCCGCCTCCTGCACCTTCCTCCATGTTAAAGATCTGCAGGAGCGCCATCCCTGCCCCAACCTGCCTGTTGTTGTCATGAGTCACTCTATCATGTGCCATCTATGAATAACAAGGGACATGTGGTGTTTGTGTGGCAATTTTGTTTTGTGGATTCATATGTTCCAGTTGGGGCCAAACAACATGTTTATGAAAAGCTATTTAGGAAGGCTTCTCATTCCTTCATTCTACAAAACATTTAAAACTGTTGACACATGGGAGCATCAACAAAATATTGTGTCACTTTAAAACAAGACCTACAATAGCGTTCATTCATTCTGATGTGACACAGAACCACAAAAAAATTATCCCCGACCCATGACACATGAGGATTGTTTACCTCACAGCATGGTGTGGCTCTGGGCAAAGAGCTAGAGTATGTCACAATGTCACATTAGTCTGAAGAATTTGGCAAAAGTTAATGTCAATATGGATTAAGAACAGCCACCGTATAATAAAAACAGTTTATGCGTGTAAACTCAAGCCCCTTTAACCCAGCAAAATATAACTGTTCATGGATGCACCTTTAATGTGCAGTTAACAGGTTATGCGTGACATGTTGTATGACCATAAAAGCATTTTCAGTAGTTCAGAATATGAGAAACAAATGACAATAATGTCTGCATTCAGTGTTGCTTTAGTGCTTTTATTTGCAGCTGTACTTACTGTACACCTCCGAACATTGCTGCTCAGGTCTTTTTAATGTCAGTGGCAGAGACTACCATCTGACCCAGTGCTTCTTAGAGAGCCATAAGGGAGAACAGGGCTCTATGCTAATGCACTAACTGCAGGGCAGAGAGAGGCTGGTCCAGCTAATGCATCAGAAAAGCACAAGGCAGGTCATGAAAAGTGCACTTAGGAATAATCCTAAAATGTCATATATAATGTCAGTACCACACATCCAACCTACGAGGCATTCACATTAAAATACATATGCAACCATTATATGCATTTCAAATACATATACAATCAGTTCGGCATATCTGAGAAGATTCAAGACTACCTTTGTTCAGGTTATTGGGGAAATTATTTTTAATTTAAGCTGCCTCTTTCACAAAATGCTACATTTTTATGAAAAGTATTTATGGGAAACAACTGCAAGTAGGGACTGTAAACTATGGAAATAAACTATTCACTAATAGTTTATTATATACACTATTTTTTACACAAATCACTTTTCCTTTCCAACGTAAGGCCTCTGTAATGTTTCCATGGGACTTTAAAGTGTTAGGGGCCTTTTTCCTCTTCTTCAGAGCAGTGACATCTTCAGGTGGCATTTCATTTCATGAATAGCATCTAGAAGAATGTATCTACCTGAAACTAGTATGTATAATGACTGTGGACTCAGGTTTAGGCCCAAATTGCCATGCATTTCTAAAATTAAATATTTAGACATACTGTCAAGAACGTGAACAAATGATAATGTTTTATGATTTAACCAAATTAGACCATGTGGACAATTAGTGGATATTTCAAAGTACAATGGATTTGCATATTATTACAAACCACCCTACTTTTCTTCACAAAGTAGATTAAGAGTTTGAATTCAGGTTAAAGCAATTAGCTATTATTATTTTTTCTAACAAAATATTGTATACATTTGACAAGATGTTTGATGAGGATTGTTTGAAAAGGGTTGCGACTGGATATAAAATATTATTTTGTTAATTTAACATATCATATTTCAGTTTTGATTACTTTAACTTCGAGTCTACTTAGGACTGTTCATTGTGTTCAGTTTAGAATTTAAAATTCCAAATCTGGTTTAAAAAACAGCACAAGAAAAGGTGCAACGTGTCATTTTTAAGTGAATCATATGTCCCTTGAATGCTGCTACCACATTTAAGTTTTAGAAAAACAACTCCAATGCTGTGAAAAAAAACACAGCACATCCGCAGCTTGCCTTACATCTGATATAAACCAAAATTAGATCAATCTGCCTACTGAGATTCCTGTGGAGAGATTATGTGTCTTATATAGTTCACAGCACAGAATATGGTATCCTTCAAGTATTTTAAAAGGCAGTAATAGTCCAGTTCATCCCTTCGATTCCTTTCTCCCTTACTAGTTCCTCAAACCCCAGAAATTCTACTTCCATGTCATCACTCGACTGAAAAGTCTCAGCAGGGGTTGTTGGGGATGTCATTCGGCTTCACACTTTCATCATGTGTGCTCATTTTTCCGTCTTTTGCGTTTATAACTCTCACCCTCCTCTGTATTTTCCCGGACAGGAGAGAGGCTTGCTTGAAGGAAGGCTCACTTCTTCCCTTTCTGAGAGGGTTGTTTCCAGTCATTTTGGTCGGGCAGAACGTTTCCCTTCCTGAGCAAGCCTCACACACCGAGGAATCTTGTTTCTCATCAGACTCCTCTAGCTGATGAGTGTTCACATTGACATCATGGAGGTGAGAGGGAGAGCTGTTCATAGCGTGGAGATATTGTTTGGTGCTCCTTGTTGTCCTGAGTTTCTCTGGAGCGAATAGAGGGAAGAAATTCACCTCCAGAGGGCGACTGTTTCCATATTGTGCTGATCATTTCGAGTCTTGCTCTGCTTTTTGGGAGCGAGAAGTCAAAGAGTTCTGTCGGCACGGCCGTTTACGCGCAAGAGATTTGTTGCTTTGATCGGTCTGAGTTTGAGTGATTGTTCCTCCTCTCCTCCCCCCTCTATGTGATTCAGAGGAGCAGAATCAGTAACTGAACTGATTTTTAAAGTGTGTCCCGAGTAAGATCCCTTGTGGCCATCAGCAGTCCTGATGCTGCTCTTCTTTAATAATCTCTGTGGGATCCAGATCCGTCTTGTGTCTCAGAGCAGTTTTCCCACAGGGTTCGGGAACAAAGAGAACAGAGGAAACACTGCACTTCGGTCTGAAAGGAATCAAAGACAAGTTTCCATGAGTAGAGTGAATAGAAAGACAAAAGGTCTATCAAAAACACATTGAGTTTATAATTGTCTTTTGTGAACATATATTATATAGGTGGAAGTTTAAAGGAGTTTGATCATATTACACGTGGAGGAAGTTACAGTGCAGGGTTGACACCAGTTGGTCCACCACCAGTACTCATCACTCTTGGAGAAATCCTTGTGACGTTCACATCTTTAGATGCCTAACAAAGGAAATCAGCCAGTATTAAATAATCAAACATTACAACACACACACACACGAGCCTACTCCATTTGTTAATTTTTTTAACATCATATTTCGGCAGATTTTTCTTTACGAAAGTTTTCCCTGCAGTATAAAGTTAAACACATAGCCTACCTGATTTATCTAAATAGCAGTATATCTAAAACATGAAATGTCTTGTGTTGTATGTGTTTCAGCTAGGTTGCATTAATGTATTAAAATTGTATTGCATTGAACGTTCTTTACCAAATAACTTACCATTGAGACCGTTCTCATATTTGATCAGGCAGCACTCGCAGTAGCCGCCTCGCTTCTTGTCTCTGTTCTTCTTTCGGACGTTTGCTCGCTCCTCGCTGGCCGAGGCTTCACAACTCTGTTCCCAGAGGTTGCACAAATAAAACCAAACATCAGAAAAAAAACAGTTTGGATCGCTGCATTTTGATCAAATGTCATTCGGACTTGAAGAGTGGCTCCAGCAGTGCCAACTAAACCTTCTGTGCAACTTCTTTACAAGTGTGATGAGTTATATTTCATCAAAAATATTGAGAGTTTGGCTTCACCACACAATATGAATTAAAACCTGCACGACAACACAAGTATTTGAGAACAGGCATCCCTAACAGAACATCAGTTATTTGTATTAACAGTGCTGTAAATAGTATAGACAAGTAAATAATACAGAAGGAGCCGAGTTAAAATTAAGTTAGTTAAAATAACTTTGAAGATCCTTAACGGCCCGTCCACACGGTGGCGTGCGTTGAAGCTTCAACACTTCTGCCCATTCACTTTGAATGGGGTGACGTCCACGCTTTGCCGAACTGCATTGTGGGAGCGTTGCTCGCTTCAAAAGTTGAGCAATGTTCCAACTTTTGAAGCCTTCGGCGGAAGCGTCAGCCAATCAAATCATATGTCAGTACAAGCTCTAGCCAATCAAACCGCGTGCTTGTGTGTCCGGGGCGGAAGATAATCATGCGATTGGTTGTAGGTCGAGTTTCAGACAAGCTCACCGGCAAGCTTCACGGCACGCTGCCGTGTGGACGCTGCGTAAGGGTAATTTTGGTGGAATTTGCTAGTTTCAGTGGTTAAAATGTTGTTTAAATGGTAGTCATGTGACAGCTTGACACACTGTGCTGAGATCAGCGGAGAGCCACGCAGATAGGAAACACCGTACCTGTTGTCCCGGCTGTTTAATCCCAGGATTCACCTTGTCGTGGACAAAGAAGGGACTACAGGGAGGAAGAGTCTTCAGGTTGAACCACCGGCATGTTCGGCATAGTGAGGCTGATTGACGGTAATGCCTGAGGAGGTAAAAAATCAATATTTTATAGTCAGATGTAAACAACCCTCAGAAAGGAGGGGCACGTAAGCATCTTTTTATAAACTGTCTCTTTACCTGCTTGAATCCTCGACCTTGACGAAGGGTTTACTGATCCGCCCCGCTGGAACAGACATGTTGATAGTCACAAAGTCAATTCAAGCATGCATTTACATAAGCAATTAAAAGAATGGACAACATTAAAGAGGACGGGGTAATGAGTCAATTCAATGTACCTTTGCATTTCTGAAAGCCTTGCTTTGCTGCTGAGCCAGCTTTGACCTATAACATTTGCAGAAAAAAGCTCTTGAAAGTTATTCTAACAAGGTTAAATCCAAACCTTTCATTTAAAATAACAATCCCAAAATGTTATTCAATTTCAACAAAGGATGCATTGAAGATTGTAACCTGTACACTCACACTTGTTTTGGCAGCAGTGGGAGCCGGACACTGCCTGCTGCAATTCTTTTGCTTCTTCTGATATATGCAACTATAGCTGCGTGGCATAAAAAACAACACAATTACTTATTTTCAGAATTATAAATACATTACAGATTACATCTACCATTATTTAAGACAACATACCATCTATATAGACAATTTTCACACCCCCACTCCAGAGCATTTGACAGGATCTTGTTCATTTTCACCCTCTCCTAAAAACAAACAAAGTGTATTAGCACAGAAAACAGTTCTTCACGAACTCGCTAGTGTTGACTTGACAAACCTGCTCTTTCACCACTCTCTCCACCAAAGACTTCCCTCGACTCGGAATAAACTGCAAGACAAAAAGAAAAGAATATGAAAAAATTATCTAGAAATAAATTGTAACGGTAAGAAGTGACATAGGTGACAAATCTGCACTATAGTTTATATAGTTGAACAACAAAGGTGAACTCACAGAATCCGTTTGGCCATGAGACTTGCTCTTCATGTTGTCCCCAGGCTGCTGCTTGCTGTGGTGCCGGCTGAGGGGAGCTGGGGCCGGACCCCGGGCTGGGGACCGGAGAGTCCTTCCTGAGGCAGTGCACATATCTAGCCTCCCTCTTGTTGGACACCAGATACCTAATTTCTTTGCTGAAGAACTTCTCAACAGTCTGAGTGACAAACGAGAGAAAAACAGTTGTTGAGGAAAGCCTTAAGACATTTATACCACCTTCTTTAACAAATGCAACGCACCGACTATGCTTATGGTGACTGAAAGGGTTTGTGCCCCAACCTCAATAATTGTTTTGATAATAACCACAACGTTGTCCACAGTGCAGTTCATCGAATACTGGCAAAACTGGCAGTGAATGTCCAAAACATAACATTTATTATCTTAATCAAATATTTCCTGATTTAACTTACAATGTTATTTTACTGCTGTCTATATTCAGCCAACATTTAAATAGTTTGTCTTTTAAATGAAAAAATAAATAATTTTTATTTACTCATATTAAAACCAAAACTCAGGCATTGTGTTGCTAATAATATTGACGAATGTCAGGCAACACCAAGCCCTAGTGTGTTTTTTCAATCATCATTAATAGTATCAGAATTAAGATAAGACAAGCCGTTATTGATCAGCTGAAGCCTGATCAAGTCCGCTGAGCAGAGAGGAGGAAATCTAGCATTATGTGATGTAGCACAGAAGAATTGACAAAGATTTGAACCTTCCTGACAGCCAATATAAAATTATTTGAAAAATGTGTTTAGTCTCACCCCTCCCAGGTCTTTGATGTCACCCTCCAATTTCTCTGCTTTTCTGTTTGAAGGCAGGTCCAGGTAAAACACTTTCCCAGCAAAAGGTTTGACTCGAGCAGGAGAGGTCACACATGTTGGCTTCGCTTGGCTCAGCGTAGACTTTTCACAGGCTTTACCGGCTCCTTTCCCTGAAAAGGCAATCAGAAAACTCACAGATGAGAGAGGAACACAGACAGGTCCCTTGTAGATCTCAGATGAGAAGTTTAACTATTTTATACTTCTACTAAACTTCATCTCAGAAGAAAATATGGTTATATGTATTTAACTACATATTAACTATGTATTTGACCACTAGCTTTCACATTGACATGCTGATTACAGGTCAAATCATAGTGAGTGTGTAAATGTACCTAATACCAAGTTAGATTTTAAAACAGGGCTTTAACTCGCAACACAATATTTCTACACTGTGGTATGAGTATTTATATTTCAGTAAAACATCAGAATACTTCCTCCACCACTAAGAGTGTATTATATGAATATTAAAGTTAATGGTTATGGTGTTAACATTTTAATAAACATATTGTGGGTGGTGGAATAATAATACAAGAATATAAATAATAATAACATTAATAATTTTATAACAATAATAAACATTACCTTGCCAGTTGGGTTCTGGATGCCTGTGGGTGTGTTTCGGCTTCATGTTGTTCTCTCTCATTGAGAAAAAAAGTTGTTGTTGTTGCCCTCCTGTCTTTAGTAAACAATCCCCAGAAAATCCATGTTTGTCCCTGTGTGTAAACAAAGACATTGTTTAGAACATAAGAAGAACATAAACAGTAAGGCAGACTGAATATAAAGTATGAGCACACTGAGGCTAACCTCACGTCCTTGGTCCCTTCCTATTGAAATGTACGCTAAGCTAACTGACAATAACGTTATTTTTTTTAATCAGGATTACCGTGTAACGATAACCTTTCCCCGGCAGAAAGACAGCTCCGTCGGTTAGCTGCTCAATTTACGTTACATTATTTCACACACAACGCCTGTGTTAGCGTTGTTTGTTTAAGGCAGGGGATCCATGTCAGGAGCTTTAACAACTGTTTATACAGCTGCAGTCAACTTTTGAGATCACCGATTTACAAAACATCTCTTTCCCGCTTTAAATCATAAAGTAAGTAGAGGAAGTATGTGTTGCCATGTCTGACAGTTTCCGGTCACGTAACCACAGAATCACACATTTCTCAGTTTAATACTCACAGATGTTCTTCTATTACATTTAAATCAGATAGTATTCTTAAATATAATCCGCTTGTCTTTAAGAAACATAATGTCCATACTTTCGAGAAACTCAGTAGTTGTGTTTCTTTTGGAAACCTTGGAAACTCGTCAAACCTGGCAACGGCGGAAATAAGTAAATGCATCCTTTCTGTTTGAATGTGATGTTTCCACATTACTGAAAAAAATAATATATACCTTAAAAATCTATAGCAACATTTGTTTCATTTGCAAATACATCTTATACACTGAATGTGTAATTACCTGAACATACATTATTGCATCAAATGTAACTTATAATTACGCAAAGTTCAAGAATGTGCTCTGCTGAAATGCCTATTGCGTAGAAAATGTCATCATGCAATGTTTTCTGTGTAAACCTATGGTGTAAACTCAACAGCTAGCTAAGGTTAGAGCTCCTGAACTCACACACGTGTTTAAGTTATTATTTTTTCTTTTATAGCCTGAGAGTAGTGTGTCTGTACATGGGAGGCTTCGTTAACGCAGAGACGCTGTAGCAGGTAAAGTTAACAAATTAGCTACATGGATTAGCTAACTCTGGTTATCTCGGGAGCTGCTTTCATGTAAGGTTACGACACAGCAATGGTTTTGTAATAACGTACTAACGCTGACCTTTCTGTAGCTGCTCATTAACTCATTTTGAAAAGTATAAATTAAAGCCTATGTAAATATTAAAATACGTCTAATGTCAAACTGTATCTTTGTGTTGTTTCTAAAGAAGACAGTATGAGTCGTCAAAGTCTGAAGCCAGTAATGGCATTACCCCTCTTCAGCAGATGGTGGCGTCCTGCTCCGGAGCCATCGTCACATCTCTGTTTGGTGAGATACTACACTTTTTATTTAAAATAACTAGGTTGAGGCTTTGCTTGCTTCATCTCGTGTAATGCACAATTTATCTGAGTGATGGAATAGTCATATCTATAAAAAATTAGCACTGCAGTATTAAAGACTAATTAATTACTAGTACATTTCCTACATTCAAAACAAGTAGTTATTATCAGACCTAGTAGAATCACTTCTCATTCTGCTACATTAATAGACAACATATTCACAAACATTATGGAAAACAATACAGTAGGCGGACTATTATATAGTGACATCAGTGATCATTTACCTGTTTTTATTGTCTATCACTGCAGTTCTAAGAAACCTAAAGTCGCCAGCCATTTCAAATACAAAAGATTGAAAACTGAAGATAACATAATTGCATTTAAGAATGACTTACTAAATCAGAATTGGAGGGTAGTATATGAGAGAGACGATATTGACAAGGCCTATGATGAATTTCTAACATTTTAAATCACTTTATGACAAAAACTGTCCTGTGAAACAATGCGAGAGAGACACAAACAAACTCACAGTGCATGGATCACTAATGGCCTAAAAAATGCCTGCAAAAAGAAAAATACACTATATAGACAATTCATAAAATATAGAACTTCAGAAGCAGAAAATAAATATAAAAGATATAAGAATAAATTAACCCATATTCTGGATATGTAAAAAAGAATACTATAATAAAATATTAGAGAATAATAAGAATAATATGAAAGGTTTATGGAAAGTATTAAATAGTGTCATTAGAAATGGAGCAAAAAGTTCAGGTTACCCTGAGTTTTTTGTGGACAAAAATAATGTTATTAATAATACAGATGATGTGGTTAATGGTTTTAATGAATTCTTTGTAAATGTGGGGCCAGATCTGGCAGAAAAAATTAAAACCGTAGAAACAACTAAAGGGGAAGATACGGACCTCTGGAATGAAAATAATAGCTCTTTCTTCCTCACACCAGTCGAAGAAAAAGAAATCATAGATACTGTGCGAAAATGTAAAAGCAAATCCTCGACCGATTGGAGTAATATTGATATGATTATAGTAAAAGACATTATTGAAGAAATTGCAGAACCATTGTCACATCTCTTTAACTTGTCTTTTCAATCTGGTAAATTCCCAAATAAAATGAAAATAGCAAAAGTTATACCATTATATAAAACTGGGGATAAACACCATTACACAAATTACAGACCTGTTTCATTGCTCTCTCAGTTTTCCAAGATCCTTGAAAAGCTTTTTACAAAAAGACTTGACAATTTCATGGAAACACATCAGCTTTTGGACGACAGTCAATATGGATTCAGGAAAGATAGATCAACATCTATGGCACTAATGGAATTAAGTGAGCAAACTGCATGGACAATAAAAAACAAGCAGTGGGAATATTTATAGACTTACAAAAAGCATTTGACACCATAGATCACAATATTTTACTGACAAAACTGGAACGGTATGGCATCAGAGGGGTGGGATTAGACTGGGTGAGAGATTATTTAAGCAACAGACAACAATTTGTTGAAATTGGTGAACATAAATCAGAATACATGAACATAACTTGTGGAGTACCTCAGGGGTCCGTGTTGGGTCCAAAGCTGTTCATAATATACATCAACGACATTTGCAGAGTATCAAATATATTGAAATTTATTTTATTTCAGATGATACTAATATTTTTTGTTCCGGTGACAATTTGAAAGAGCTAATGGAAGTGATAACAGCAGAAATGATTAAAGTAAAACATTGGTTTGACACAAACAAATTATCATTAAATATAAGCAAAACAAAGATTATGTTATTTGGAAAACATAAAACAAATCCACAGGTGCAATTAATACTAGATAACATAAACATAGAAAGAGTATATGAAATTAAGTTCCTTGGTGTGGTTTTAGACCACAAAATCAGCTGGAAACCTCATATCACTCATGTAAAAGCAAAACTGGCTAAGACTATCGCAATATTGGGAAAAGCCAGACACATTCTGGACTACAACTCATTGTATACTCTATATAACACACTAATATTGCCATATCTGATTTACTGTGTGGAGATTTGGGGAAACACGTACAAAACCAACCTACAGCCGTTATGCACATTACAAAAAAGGGCTATAAGAGTTATCAATAATGTTGGATATCTTGAACACACTAATGTATTATTTTTGAAGTCACACATATTGAAGTTCACTGATCTGGTTCAATTTAAAACGGCACAAATCATGTACAGAGCAAGACATAATCTACTTCCTAGGAAATTAAAAACATTGTTCATAGACCGAGAGGGTGGGTATCATTTGAGAGGAAATCTACATTTTAAACAACTCAAGGTCAGAACAACTCTGAGAAGTATGAGTATAACAATCTGTGGGGTGATTTTATGGAATGGTTTGGAGCAGGAGTTAAAACAAAGCACAAGCATAATTCAGTTTAAAAGGATGTACAGAAACACTTTTTTGGAAAACTATGAGAATGAAGAGAGGTGATTGAAGATGAGAAATTATTGTATATGTATGTATAATGTAAATGTAAGTAGGAATAACTTGCATAATGACTTAAAGGACAATCATTGATCAAGTAAGGGGTGGGAATTAATAAGCATTTGCTTCCTCCTACTCCCTTTCGGACACATATGATTTTTTTAAATTATTATTATTATTAATATGAAGATTTTTTTTGTTGAATATATAAATATTATCGTGAATGTGGATAAATACTGTATTTTAACAATACGGTATTCTGTTTTTCACATTTGTTATTTTTTATTTGTTATTTTTTAATCTGTTCAAAAAAGATTGAAATGAAATTAAATTTTTATAATTTTTGAATGTATTACTTGTTAAATCCTGTTGTTTAAATACTCTTGTCCACAAAAGGTGGAGGTAGGATCCATAGAAAACATATGTGCCTAATTTTATTCATGGAGGTTCATGTTAATTTCTTTCTTTTTTCAGTTACTCCTTTGGACGTCGTGAAGATCAGACTGCAAGCTCAGAAAAATCCCTTCCCCAAAGGTATAATGAATATGTACTTTGTTGCTCTGGTGTTATGGTTAATATAGTACTGGTTCAAAGATTACATGAGTTTGTCTTGTGTTAATACCTTTCAGGGAATGCTTTGTTTACTGCAATGGACTTATGGACCACATATGCTGTGTGTTGAAAATGGAAACACTAAGGCCTGGCTACAAAAGCCCCCAGTCACTTCAATGGCACACTGGTAAACATTTCAGATAGCCAATGCATGTCACCCACCCCAGTAAAACATTAGTAGCCTTACTTTGACATGTGCCATAGCTTGTTTGTCTTCTTTCACTGACTCCACACTGTACATCTCTGCCAGGATGCCTTCGTCAAAATAGTGCGCCAAGAAGGAACCAAAGGACTTATGGAGCGGTCTCATACCTCCAACCCTGTGAGTGTGAAGTCTTGTGTTCTCATTTTTTGAAGTTGTACCAATTAGTGGCAAATCACCTAGGTTGTCTCTCAGGGCTGATTACCAAGATTGATTTATGAAAAGTGTTTAAAGCTCCCATGTCATGCTTTTCCGGTTATTACCCGTCCCCTTGTGTGTTATGAAGGTTTTTATGCATGTAACGGTGTTGCAGAGTCAAAACCCTCAAAGTACACCCTGTAGCGAGTAAAACTCTAACACAGAAAATACCTCCCCAAAACGCCTCGTTGGAGATACGTCACTGCCCATTTGATTCTTCCGGGTACCGCCTGATGTCATGCGGTACCCGGACGAAATGGACCAATCCCGAAGAGCCGTTACGTTACGTCCGCGGACGCCGTTACGTTAAGCCCCCGCTGATTGGTCCAAATTGACCGATCCACGGACTTCCTCACACACACATCTGTGTGCAGGGAGCAGGCAGCTCAGCTGATTTCTCCTCCCTGTGCAGGCTGATAACAGACAGTTGGGATCGCGGGCAAAATTCTCTCTGGCAGACCCATTCTCACAGCGTTTATCAACCTTTTTCTTACTCATATCAAGCCACACTTATTGTTTTTACTTCGGATGTGAGTTTGTGTGTGCTCAGGATGAGTTTGGCTGTGTTTCGCTATGTATCCTAAACAAGGAAGCAACACCTCCACGGAGCTCAGCGCGATTCACAACGTCCCGACCAATCAGAGCACACTGTGCTCACAGGGAGGGTGGGGGCTGGAGCTATTGGAGCTCCAACGAGCCGTTAAAGGCACAATAGTGAAATTCAGTGAATACAAGTAGTTTTACAGAGATGCTGTATGAGAAACCAATGTGAGTTTGGAAAAATGCACAGTATGAATCTATTTTAGTATACCTCAACAATGGAATTATGATCAGTGGAATGGCCATGACACCTATCCTTTAATGGATTTTTTATTATGGTGTGGTTTTTGTAGCTGCTTTTTCCCCGCTTGGAACACTTGAGTATAATATGTGGATATATATGTTTTCTTCAGTGTTATGGCAGTCCCAGCTACCGTGATCTACTTCACGTGCTACGACCAGCTGTGTTCAGCGCTGCGGGTCAGGATGGGAGGACTACTCTCAGGAGGCTCCTCTCTCTGGCAGGAGCGGTCGCTAGAGGTGAGCTAACCGCTGTCACATCAAGAGAACAGGACCACCTCTATTTAGAGCTTCATCATCAATTACTGCTGATCATCCTCAAAACTCACCTTTTCACTCTTGCCTTCAACTCCTATTCCACCTAGCTTTGCACTTTTTACTTTTGTTGTTATTTTTCTTCTTTACTTGCTTGTAAAGCGCTTTGACCACCAGGAAAAGCGCTATATAAATAACATGTATTATTATATCTACATTTAATTAGTGTTTACAGAATGGAACACATCTATTATCTACTGAAGTCCCTTTCAGAATAGTAACCTTATTGCCGTATTTTAAATTATGCTAGTAGTTTAAGTAACAGATTTTATTACTCTAGATTTTAATTTAGACCCTGACTTTTTAATAATGGCCTCAGGTTTTAAAAGGGCAGTTTATGAGGTTGAATACAATTTGCTTGACATGCACTACTCTTTTCAAATAGAAAATGCTCCACCATGGAGCATACATAGTCTATAATGCTCATTTTCACCTAGTGCATTTTCACCTAGTGCATTTCAATCATTTTTCTCTGCAACAGTATGATTTTGAGAAGATGTGTTTTGATCTTCTCCTCCCTGTTTCCTGTGTGTGTGTCAGTGGGTTCGGCGACAGTGATCAGCCCTCTGGAGCTGATCCGTACGCAGCTGCAGTCTCACAAACAGTCGTACAGGGAGCTGACTGACTGCATCCGCTCTGCAGTGCAATCAGAGGGCTGGCTGTCTCTGTGGCGAGGCTTGGGACCCACGCTCCTGCGAGACGTGCCCTTCTCAGCCATGTACTGGTACAACTACGAGAAGGCCAAGAGCTGGCTGTGTGAGCGCTCTCACACCAGGGAACCCACCCTTACCATCACCTTGTATCAGGAGCGATGTCTGGCTCTGTAAGTGCATCTGCTTTTCAACCTGTAGACAAATAAACCAAATATAATAAAACTGTCATCTAATATAAGTAAACCATAATCTAATCATTTGTACATGTGTCCATTTCTCTTAGATTGCGTCCATTGTGACTTTACCCTTTGATGTCGTCAAAACGAGAAGGGCAGGCTGGAGTTGGGAGAGCTACAAGCAAAGAATTGTAATTATGGCATTATTCTTTTTATTTTTGTTATAATAATGAAATGTTACTAAAGTTTGCAAATGTTGTATGTCAGTGGATTCCCAACAAGGAATAGGTTTAAGCCCAGGTGGTACTTCTGCATTTGTCTAAACTCACATGAAAAGATTGTGCATCCTATCATGTCTTGGATTCCTTTAAATATATACATTCTCAGTAGACGAAATACAAGATAAAACTTTATTAAGACCCTGGAAAACAAGTCAACAGCAATTAGGATGAAAACACGGGAGAGATATAGTAAGAGCGCAGAATAGAATCTTATTTTAAGAATAAAAATGTGATATTTGAATGAAGATAAAGCAAACAATGGGAGGCTTGCCCTTGATAGCGGGCACTGGATCTCTGTGTGAGTGAGTGGGCATATGCGCAATCTGTTGATTAAAAAGCCTCAGTCCCAATCAATTTACAAATTTAAATAAATATACGAGTAGTTCAAAGTCCAAAGTAAGTTATCACATCAAACCCCAACGGATATAAAAGCCCATCTGAGGACTCTTTGTGCAGCAGATAGGTTTCAGGCTCAGTATTGAAACTGTGAAATTGCATCGTTCCTGTGCAGGTCTTACATTTCCTTTGTGGGGGTCAAGCTTAGTTAGGAGCCTGATGTATACCAGCACAAAGGACTGGCCTTGTGGAATAAATCGTTTTTTCATACACAGGTTACTAGCAGTGAAAAACTTGAGTTTATCTGACTATGGGGGCAGACAAAAAAGGCCGCTTTATTTTACTGAAATAAAATCCTTTGTGGTCCGTCTTATATTTCAGTTAATGTGTCATTTGATGGTGATGTTACCTTTGTCTCTTCAGTGTCATGTCAGGTCTCCTCCTCACCTTCAGCGTGATGAGCAGGATTGTGGCGCAGAGCGGGTTTAGTGGACTGTTTTGCAGGTAGATACTTCTGTGATGTTTTGTGAATGATTACAGATACGTCTAACCACATGGCATCTAATCGCTCCTCTGATCTGTTGTCTCTCTGCCAGGTTTCATCCCGAGGTTGATCAAAGTGGCTCCAGCCTGCGCCATCATGATCAGCAGTTATGAGTTCGGAAAAACCTTTTTCCGCAAACGCAACGAGGAGAGGACACTCAGGCCACTGCAGGACACGAACGCTTGATATATTCCCTGTCATTTCTCTACAAACCAAACAGAACTACTGCTAGAGTTTACCTCGGGAGGGGGGAATGCACATGTTGCCAAACTACAAACAAGTAGAAATGTAAATGAACAAAATTATGAACTACTTTACCCTTTCTGAGTAAGAAGATTTATATTAAATTATTATAATTAGTATTTATAATGTATTATTCTATGATTTGATGTGATAGATCCTGTGTGTGGAAATTAAAAGAAGTGATGTTTTCATCAGTGTTCAAATCAAATGCTTTTTGATGAATTGAACTGCCAGCAGATTGGCACCCCCGGTGTTGTTAATCTGTATGTTTCCAATTCCCTGTGACCTGTGAATATGTGTGAGACAAACACGAAAGCCAAAATCGTACCATTTTGAAGCCGTGAGTTTGTTTTCAGTTTGAAGAGACTGAAAGAGGACTGTGAATTATGTAAACTTTCTGAAAATGTTACGTCTAAAATGTTGAATATACGTACGTGATATTCTTTAGAATGTCTCATTCATTGACTTTATGCAACGTGTTCACCTCACTCATTATGGACATCAATCTCACTGTTTGAGTAAGAGCAGTTTATTCAAAATGAAGAATAAAAAGGCAAATAAATCTAATAAAACATCTGCTGCATGTCTGCAAATTACTGCTGGAACGAGCTAAGGTGAAATCATATTTCAGTGTTGAGGTATACGGTTAGTAACTAACAAAACAAATTGAAATGTTCTGATGATTCACTCATTTCTCATTCTCGGAAATATCTGTTGCAAAGTATTTTTTAACAACGTCTTAACATAGAGTTTTAGGAATTACCTATTTGTTGTAACTAGTGATCAAAATACTACATTTTGATAATCGAAGGGAATAAAAACAAGTGTCTGTGTCTGATGAAGCTGGACTTTAAAGTAAACCCAGAAGTGAAGGGTGAATATTATCTTAGGGATCATTACCTGAGAACAAAACCCCTGTGAGACTGCAATTTGTACAACAATGACAAAGCAACACTGATCAAATAAAAGTATTTACACCTGACGTGAAATGTGAGACAGCATAGAGCAAACTTTGAAATTGTAATCTGACAAAAGTGAGAGTACATACATTGTAATCAAAGAGATTACTTGTAAAAAAAAAAAAAAATGAAATAAACAGCAGTAGCAGTACAGAACATAAAATACCCTTTTAACTGCAGGAAATGTTTCATAGTGCCAACATTGACTGAGGCTTTCAGTATTTTGTGTTTTTCTTATCTATATTCAGTATTTCCATACTGAATTTGCATGCTGTGACTCCGGCAAACCTTTCAATTCTTACATCATCTGCTATTGTTTTCATTTATTTCCTTTAAAAAAGGGAAACAAGAACTGAAGTTCCACAAAAAAAGAAACTAAACAAAATAATTCAAACACGATCGATGAAGTAACGGCAAGCAGATCCTCTAATAAGAGTCAGAGGGTATTTCCGCTGGATAGTACGTTAATATTAAAGACTTTAATGAGTCCGACGGAACTGCACTTCATTTTTAACACAATTCAGAGAACATGCTACACCAGATTCTCCACTTGCAAACCTGATTTCTTTCTATTAAAGCGCTCAGCTCCACTTACAGAAAATAAATGTCTACAAATCTACATGACCTAAATGAAGAGAGTTCCTGGATTGTCTAGAGATGTGTTTGTGTTTATCTCTCCGTTCATTATGACGGAGTGAAGCCTGGGCTGCTGATCTCCGTCGCAGGACTTGCCAAACACTCGCTGGACTTCAGGCTGGCCAGAGACTTGTAGCTCGCAAACCGACGTCAGGGAGCCGCACAGACCTCTTAGAGACGGGGTTTTCCTCTTTACCTGGTTCACAAGATACACATAATCAATACTCACATCGGAGTGGACCACCCTCCAGTGTTTACTTGCAGGGGGAGACGTACCTTGGTGGGGCCACAGTGTGCCGGGGGGCCTGGCCTCCAGACTCAGAGTGTGGGACGGGTCAAGAGACATCTGAGAGAGACTCATGTCTGCAGACAGCTGCTCCAGACTCTGGAAACTCTTCCTGCAATGAGAGGACAGAAGATCAGTAAAGATATTGGGCTGAAACAATAAACAGGAAATGTTTCGTGATGAAACATTTTTATAATTTTAGTAATGTTAGAGAAACACAATCAAAGCATTTTCTTCATACAATTATTATTATAATTAGAAGAAAATGAACACATTTTCCCATATTTCTTATTCCCAACAATAAATTGGAGGAACAGTCTTTGTGATTTGAGACTTATTCACAGATACTTGTAGCTAAATATGCTCTACACCAATGATTTCCATGTTTTTCCTGCAGTAAATACTGCTAGCCATCATTTTGAGTGAAATCTTAAATACTAACTAACCTGCTCCCAAAGATACGTAACAGTAGCGCATTTTCAGGAAAGTCTCTTAACTAAATAACAAAGAAGAAGACACTGGACGCTTCATAAAAGCACCTTCTTTTCTAGGAATAGCTAGCTTATTGACAAAGGTAAATAAGCAACATCTCCTTCTCTGAACAACAGCTAAGCATGTTTGTGAACATTCAGTTCAGTGTCAATAACTGAGATTTATTAAGATTTTGATGCTAGAGATGTGAACTCTTGTACATACTCCTCCCACTGTCCCGTGCTCTTCCTGTACAGCAGCGTGTCCAAGGCGACAGCGTTGGTATCCAAGGCGACAGGTGATGGCCACTGATTGGTCAGGTGGGCTGTCAGCTCTTGTCTGGACCGCAAATCATTGTTTTTCAGCACCGTCCTGAAGACAAAAACAGGCACAGTTACACACCAGGTTATGAAATAAATAAATTCTCAAAATAAGAACAAGGAGAGTCATTCAATGAAGGCAGATCAGGCACAAATATAAAACAGTAAAACGGTTTGTCTGGCAGCCACTCGACGACTTTTTACTGTGTGTATTCCTTTTTCTTATCAAATACATCAAGTAAACAGAAATTCCAAAAATAAACACAATCAATTTAAGAGTAGTAAATATAGTA